AAAAAATTAAATAATAAAAATAAAACAAGAAGAAGAAACGGGAGAATAATATTATTTTTTTTAAAAAAAACAAAAAAAAGAAAACATGAAGGAGTATCAAACCAGACCACAAAACCCCACTTTCGTTGCAATTCATTGTACCTCCTTAACTCTATAATATACGTACCGACGAACGCATTCACGGATGTGTGCGCCGCATCTTCTCACACCTGCGTTTCTCTTCCTCTCGGGGGTGCGGAACGAAACCACGCCACCGACACTCCTCATCACCCGGGCATTTCCCTTGTCTTCGTTCTCCCTCTTTCTGAGCCGCCTTACGCGGCTCATCTGAAGGATTATACAGCCATCTTCATGGAGATAGTGGGATACGGCGTGTAGTCAATCACCTCCATGTCACCCTCCTCATAGTCCTCAAGAAACTCGCGCTCGCGGTGGAAGACGAGAAACGGAAATGCCCGAGGCACACGTTTGAGTTGCGCCTGGCACGGCTCTATGTGATTACTGTAAACATGGGCGTCGCCGAGTGTGTGTACAAATTCGCCCGGTCGCAGTCCCGTCGCTTTTGCGATGAGAATTGTCAGCAAGGCGTAGGACGCAATGTTGAAGGGAACGCCAAGGCCCATGTCGCATGAGCGCTGGTAGAGCATGCACGACAGTTCCCCATCACGCACGTAGAACTGTCCAAGCATGTGGCACGGCGGCAAAGCCATCTTGGGCAGTGCAGTTGGATTCCATGCCGTGAAGAGCATCCGGCGATCGTCAGGGTTTGTCTTGAGTGTTTCAACGATCGCCTTAATTTGATCAACCCCTTGTCCCTCATACTTGGCGTCGTGGCGTGTGTATTCTGCGCCAAAGTGGCGCCACTGAAAGCCGTAAACGGGGCCAAGGTCCATCTCCTCGTAGTCTGTAAGACCGCGGTTGTCAAGAAAGGCGCGGGAGCCGTTGTCGTCCCAGATGTGGACCCCCTTGTCACTTAACTTCTTTGCGTAGGTGTCGCCCCGCAGAAACCACAGCAGTTCCTCGCACACGCCGCGCCAAAAAACGCGTTTCGTGGTCAAAAGAGGTAGGCGGTTGTCACGGAGCGAAAATCGCATTTGTGCGCCAAAGAGGGAAACGGTACCTACCCCAGTGCGGTCCCGCTTCAAGGCTCCCTCACGCACGATGCGGTCAACGAGGTTGAGGTACTGCTCCTCCTCGTGGTTGCGTGGAACAAGCTTTTCAATGTAGTACTTTGTTCCCTCCGAGTTCGCCGACGTGCGCTCCTCGGTGATGCTCTCCCGCTCCCACTCAACACCCGCCGCCGCCTCCGTCCCTGTTTCAGGAAGGCGAAAAAACACACTGCAAGACGAATCCCTGGTGAGAATGGTTGTGCGATGAACGGCTTGCAGCACCTTCACGCACGGCGGACGGAGAGCCTCAGCATACACGGAGCCACCACCGATGCAGAAGACCGTCTCAATGCTCCGCGTATACATGGGAGTGGCGAGCAACCGCAGGGCCTGTTCGAGACCACCACGCACCGCCAGAATATTATCCGCCGCCGCCTTCCGTTTTTCCTCGTCCGGCAGGTCGTCCAAGAGGTTTTGTGTTGTTAATTTGGACGACAGGACGATGTTCAGGCGGCCAGGCAGTGGGCGAAAGTTAGGCGGTATGCTATCCCACGTCTTGCGGCCCATCACAACGGCGTTACGCCTCGCAAGCGTGGGTTTAACGTTCTTTCCCCGCAGCTTCGTCGTCACGTCCCTGAAGTACTTCATGTCCTCTGGCACATTCCACGGTATCGACCGCCCATCGCCGATGCCACCATGTTGGTCCACCGCCACTATGAGTGAGAAGGCACGTAAGACAAGACGTGTGCCCTCCGCCACCGTCTCCGGCATACGGATCTTGTACAAAGACATGGCCAACAAACACGCAAAGTGAAGACTCTCTCACTCCCTCCTTCTCTCACGATATATATATATATCCACCTACTCACGCGTGTAATTCCAATGTATATGGCCTCTCTCTCTGTGTGTGTCGCCGCTTATTAATTAATATACCGTTGCCCCTTTCGGTTTCTTCCTAGAAGGCAGACTACGTCCCAATAGGTAAAAGCAAAGCCACATGGACGGTTGCGTGAGACTCAACCGCCAGCACTCTCTCACACACACCACAAACAGCAACGGCGCCCAAAGAACTCTCAAGGAGGAGGCACACAACACTCAGGTAGACATGTGTGAGTGAATAAATGCCTTCTTGGCTGCCTGGTGTCGTCCTCCACAATTTCCCCAACAACACACAACCGCAGACAAACATCCACGCACACCCAGCGGGCAGCAACAAATAATAATATACGGTGCAATGATTTCTTCCATTAATAATATAACGTTGCTGGAAATTCATTCCATTTTGTTGTTGTTGTTGTTGTTGTTTTGTTTTTTTCACAGCAATGTTTTTGTTTCCTCTTGTTTTCTGTTCTTGTTGTTATTATTTATTTGTTTTGTTTGCACACCCATTCATCACACACCATGGAGTACCTGCTTGCCCACGTCACATCACATCACACCCACCATTCATCTACTATACTCCCCTGATGGAAACAAAGACAAGCCAATCAATACGCAGGTTTTTCATGTATACCTCACGACACACATAAATATACTTATCTACGTGCGTGGCTGTAGCATACACGTGGCTGTATTCGGGGAAATGCGGCATCACACACACACGCATCTTCCCATATATCCATAAGGGGATTCGCAGAGAGAACGTGACAAATAAAGAAGGAAAATATCGACCATACTTTGCGCATGTGTGTTCATTCATCTCTCCTTCTCGCTTTCACTCCCCATCTATCCGCATGCAACCCTCGCGTACCTTCCGTGAGGAGTAGCAGAACAAAACATAACTCCGTTATCACACCTATGGTGTTGTTGTTGTTTTTCTTTTTTTTCATTTTTTTTTTTTTTAGTAGCCTTCTACATTGGCGTCCGACAGGGACGCCAATGCACACTCCATGCGGGACCACTGATGCCGTTTGTTGAGCACCAGCGCCAGTGGAAGGCGTAGCGACATCGCAATGGCTAGAAGATGGGAGTCAGGTCGCAGCCGTGAGCCGGATGAAAGTTTACGCGCCATCCAACAGCAGAGTTCCTCGAAGGAGATGATACCAGAGCGTGTTTTGTTAAGCATGCGAAAGATGCGCGGGGCGTGTCGCACAATCTCGGGTCGGTCACGCACAAACACGTCATGTGCATATTTGGTGAAGTTGTGAAAATCCAGCGGTCCGTACTCCGCAACAATACAATCATAGGCGTGTGTGACGAATGCCACACTCTCGCGAGCGCAGGGCAGGAAAGGAAAGACCGTCGCAGGTACACCAAAGACTTCTTCCAGCTGATTGGATCCCTGCGTGGTGAGCATGGCGTTGTAAAACGTGAGGCGATGCTCCAGGATATACTCCCGCGTGTACTGAAGCTCGCGCATTACGTCATTAATGTCGTCCTCGCAGTCGTCCATCCCGTCATCCATGCTCATTGTGCGGCCACACCTGTCCTCGTTCAGTCGGGCGTGGTGGCTGTCGCCGTCCATAGTAAGCCGTGCCCCTTCCCGCCATCCATGCAGCCCCCTCTCCGCTCTCATCCAACTGTCGCCGCTTCTGCACCTTCTCGCGCCACCGCTCGACCACCTCCCGCAGGGCGGAGGTGACAGGCGTGTACCGCAGCGAAAACCGCGAAAAGAGGGCGTCCACAAATTCCACCAGTGACCCGCGATGGTGCACAAGCACAGCCTGCGCCACCACCTCATCCACCACCCGTGCAAAACTTATCACGGAATCACCCTTCGCCGCCGCGACATCCAAGACGTACAACTCTGCCGCTGCACGCCGCGATCGGCGACTCGCTCGCCACACCTTGAATGCGTGCATCTTAAGCGTGTCAGCGGCTAAGAAGTCGGGCCGAGCGAGTGGAGTGTGAAGTACCACGTGAAAGAACGCCTCGTGGATGGCGTCGTAGATAAATTGATCGTCACCCTGAGAGTTAAAGGAGAACGCGCCGTCAGCGGAACTGGCCGCCCTACTGTCAACCTCCACCAGCCACGAGGTAGAGAAGAGCGTGGCATTGACGTCTATGACCTCGCCAAGCAGAGGCAAACTAGCATCCTCATCCACCCCTCCACACGACATTGCGGTGCTTACTGAGCCAGCAAGCTCTGCCGACATAAACGATTCTCGCTCAGAAAAAATGTGTTTATGTTCTCGCTGCGTCGACGAGACTGTTGAGGAGAGCGGCGTCGCCAGAGTCGTTGTGGCTGTATGATGGTTCTGCTGGTGGTGGTGATGGTGACACCGGCTACGTGCCTCAATGAAGGGGAGGTAAAACAACAGCTCCTCCGCGTACGAAGAAAACAAACGCCGGTTGTTTACGTGCGCCGCAAGAAGTCGTGAAATAAAAGCGGGAAGCTCGCGATAGACGCGTGAGTCCGGAAGTTGAACGCAGCAAAGCACCAGGCACTCCTGCGCCTTAAAGCTCGAGACGGCTGCGGCAGCTGTGTCTGCAGAGAAAGTCGGCAACTGCGAGGACGGCGGCGGAACCTTTGTGGAGACAGCGGAGGAGGCCGCAGCCGCCGCCTGCGTGTATTTCCTGTGAAACTCACGTGTGCGAAGCTCAATAATAATCACCGCGTCGAGCCCCGCCACCTCCTCCGTCACGAGCGTAAAGGAGGAATTCAGCTGTTTTTGTAGCGGAAGCAAGAGGGAGTGGTACAGCGCCGCTTCATGCGGGTTCGCGGTACGGAGCGCCACAACGGCGTCGGCGCACGCAGAGCCGCGGAGCCACTGCAAGAGGCGCTGTAGCCTGCCGGTAGGTATTCGCTCGCGGCATCCGAGGTCGTGCAGCGTCGTGTTGGGTTCCGAACGCCATGAGCAGCGCACCGTGCGGCGAAGAAGCAGCAGGCAACCAAGCGCCGCCAACGCACTCACAGCAAGGCTCACGCCTCCGGTGAGTCGCCGCATTTATTCCGGTGCGCAACTTTAAAATAAAAAATAAAAAAACGCCAACCGCAGAAAACAACGACGCCACGTTGCCAAAACAAAATTTCCGCCCCCACCCCCCACCCCTCTTCCCTTGGGTTTGTGTTGTGCACAAGATGGGAATGAGGCACCCCAGAAAAGGAGGGCGTGTACGGGTGTGGCGCCACGCCTCCACAAGACGCCCCTCCCAACAGAAAGCAAAAGAGGCAAAACGCAAACGAAAAAGATGTCCCCACCGCACACTGGCACAGAGGAAGAGAGAACACAAGAGGCACAGCAACAACAGCAAATAAAGATAAACAAAAAGACGTCAATGGCAAATAGGCACGTTGCATTGCCACTGACATCGTACCATCTCGCCTCATCTTTCAGTTGTTGCTTCTCGCCGCGTTCATCAAGAAATGGACGAAGGAGGAAGTGAGAAGCTTATGCGGTGGTACTTGAATCCTTCACCTGCCTCAAGAGGTTCTGCACCGATGACGACACTGTCTTTCCTGCACCCCGCTCAATCTCCGTGAAGAGAATGGCGTCGCCGTACGGGTCATCTACGGCGCTGGCGTCTCTTGCCTTGTGCAGCTCAGCGTTACTGTCATGGGTCTCCACCCGTCCACGCTTTCGTGTGGCCTTCCCACTCACTGCTGCTGCTGCTGCCGTCGTCCCATCTTGCTGCCGACTGTCCAGATGCGTGATCTCGCGCAACTTCTTAATGTACCCGGAGACGCGATCCAGCTTTAGCTGCACCCGCGCATCCACGCCCGTCTTTCCCACCGCATTCTGCAGTCTGTCATAAGCGTACGTTAGCAACACCAGCACAAAGGCCGCAGCGAGGGAGATGCGGGCCTGCTCGTCCACACTGTAGTTCGTCACCAGCACGTCCTCGTTGAGGGAGGCCAGCAGCGGCAGTAGCTCGGAGCGCATGCGGAGGAGCACCGCATCCAATTTTTGCATGAGCGGTACAACATCATCATCGAAATCCATGTCGCCTCACCTTTTCCCCGCGCTATTCTTTTCCCTTCCGGAGGAAGGGAAAAGAACCAAAATGAGAGTAATGGAGAAAGTGCAAACCGAACACAGCAGGTAAACAAACGCAAACTCACGCGCAAATACGGACCTGCATTACAGTTGTTAATGCAGTGATAGCTAGAAAAGGAGAAAAGGCGGCACCAGCATGAAAGAAAAAAGAAGTGGTGCGCATCACAGCGAGGCCAATAACAGCTTCAGGGTGAGTGAAGGCACGACACGGACAGCACCCGATCCCGATGCACAAAAAGCACTCGGTTAGACACCAGCAGAGAGACAGTACCAAAAAGGAGTCCAACCCTGGCAGCCTCTCGCTTTCTTTTCTTTTTTGGTGTGCGTGCCCTTCCCTTGTCCCATAACCCCCGCCCGCTACCGTCACCCACCCGCGCTCCGCCACCTGCAGCTGGTGATGCAGCCACCTCTGTGTCATTTCGTAACAACCGCAACACGCCCGACCAACATGCACACAGGCATTATATATATATATATATATATATATTATGTATATATATATATATATATA